CCAGTGTAAGCTTGTTGGGAATGGGCACAGATGGATATAGACTGCGGAAAATGTACTCATTGTCTTGCTTTTGACACTCCATTTTTAGATGGTTTGAATTTGATTATATGTGTTACGAAAGATGGAATATAAATAGGAGGATAATTTCTTCTTCATATATCATGTCATGCGTATGTGTGTCCAAACTAATACTGGTAACTAAGAGAAAAGTATAGGATAGTCTTTGACTCTCTTAGAAATATATAGGTGAAGTTTTGTTGAGTCATGGAAATTTAGTGAAAGATCTGATTTATGCTTAAAAGAGCTCGAGAAAAGAAAAAGAAATCGTTTGAAGTGTTTGTAAAGGCTCGTATATGTTGTTCGTAAAAGCCCTAACTTAAAAGAATTAAAGACAAGGTTCTTACCTACGAGGCGTCATATTTTCTTATATTGACTCGAACACCTTAATCAAAAGTAACAAGCAAAAACAAACTCGACTAAAACTTTCCATGTGAATACATGTTAGTTAGGGATAAGAATTAACTAGATTTGTTTTATACTTAATTGTTCTTCATAATTATCGTGTTAACTATTTAGTACATTATATATGTAGATATCGAAATAGTATTATATTTTACATTGTTTTGCCATTAGTGAAAATAAATATAGTTGACTTTGCTATATTAAAATGTATAGACAAAAATCGAGTAGTTTCAGATAAATTGATTGTTATTGTTCAAATGTTTTCTATTTTTATAGTTTAGTTTAGTAAATAGTGTCGTTTTAATTAATTATTTATAGTATTTACAAAATTTTGCGATGATAATACTATTTATTAGGAAGAATGTAGTAGAACATAAAGAAATGACAAAATTTGTCAACACAAACCGCAATTCTCTAAGTCCTAACCAACAATTCTGCCCCACAAACCGATATCAAAATCTTGCTAGATCGGACGATTCAAATAAGTATTTTTCAGACGACAAATAAACTCGGCAACATCTTTCTTTAAATTTTCCGATTGTCAATATTATTTACATTACAATTTTTTTGGGTCAATTAGTTTACAATGGGATGGTTTAGATTGTAATTTCTTTAACATTTTTATACTCCATATCTTAACGTTAAATCCAAAAAAACAAAAAAAACAAATTCGTTTTCCTTCTATCTCGAAATATATATAAAAAATATATTCGTCATTAACATTAAACATTGAGTTATAAATTTCTACCTTTTTTAAGCGGATGTTCTCGAAGGGACTAATTATTTGAAAATTCATTTTAAACAATCAAATCTGACTTGGGCAAATTTTAATTTTAAATAGATGGATACCAATTGGTGATTCTTTACTTGAATTTTTTAAAGATTAGTTTAAAAAAAAAAAAATTAAAAGAGGGAGAGCATACCTGTCAACTGTCATGATCATAAGTTCATAACTTAAAAACCCAAATTGTCTTCTTCGAGTATCTTAGACTTCCCTCACAAGAACATATAAATATTTATACATAATTAATTACACAAGTATCTTAGACTTCCCTCACAAGAACATATAAATATCTATACATAACTAATTACACACATTTTTATAACTTGTGCAGCAAGAAACAGTCATGAGTATAACATATACTTCGATTATTTTAATATTGTGCTTGGAAGTTCTACAATAACTTGACACAACAGACTTTTTCAAATCATTTTCTCAGCATAGTTTATGGTATTTTCCCGGAAAGTTACTCTTAATTCCAATTTTCCTGGAAAGTTACTCTTTCATTGATATATTTAGAAGCCACAAGAACATGTTCCACATTATAATCAATGCCATGGAGATCATCTGGAGAACTATTGTTTCAACATTAATGCTCTTTCTCTTCTTGAGATATTTCTACAATCCTCCAACTCCTCCAAATCCTTTCTTTATTTTCTTTTTCCTCGGTTCGATCCTTTTCTTGTTAATCATCGATCGAAACCGCTCTGTTTATGAACAAACCGAAGATTTCTACGTTGTGTACACGTTTGAAGAAGACAGTAAGCTTGATGCAGACACTACTATAGACAAGAACAAAGAATGTTGTAATCTCAAAAGATATTGCTACT